TTCTTCAACATAATCATCGGTCTGAACTGCCTTCTGACAGCTTCTACTTTGGCAACCTACACGTTATTGATGTTAGAAATGCATTCCTTCAGCCTGAATTACAGCACCTACCCTTCATCAAAGCAGATACAATGTCTGTCACCGTCCAGATGACACAACAAACGCGGAGGTCAAATCCACGTAATTGACCAAGCAAAATGAGTACTACGTAAATTAAGAGAAAAAGTGCAGGATAGCAGACGACGTCCTTCAGCATTTCAAGTGTGAGCGCGGGCTTGTGACCGAATCGCGACGTGGTGTGCATCGATTGCTTCGCCATTTGAAAATCACCAACCTGTGATTGACAGCTGATTGTCAAATTGCCAGTGCAATTTATACAAGAAATTGTGTGCCTACCTATCTTTCACAAATTATGCGTCACAGAGCAGACCTCTGATGCATGCTTTCTGTTTTTATTCTGTTATATCTCCTTTGCACACTTAAGTGGTATTGAGATTGAAATCTCGAAAATAACTCCGTTGATAGCTCTCAAATTCACACAGCGCATTTCACCTAATGTTAATTCCCAGCCTAATGTGAACCTATTAGATGTTGTCTAAATTACACGACAGTAACCCTCGTTTACAATGCCAGCACCTGGTTCCTCCACATAGATGTGAAGGTCAACGAACTTCTCTACATCTGCTGGACTGGAAGTCAAATATCGGAACGAATATGTGCAACAGCATATCGACAATACAGCTCACAAAATGCATTTTCTGCCTTGGTGATATTAGTGTCCCAATGTTCGTGCATACCGTATGTAGGAGTGCATTTTGACCAAGTGGATCACTGTCTTTTTTAGGAAAAGGGGAATGCAGTGATTAACTTGGGTCCATTTTATGTGTGAATAGCACAGGTTCCATAAAATAACTGGGATTTAAGCTTTTGTGGAACCCATTTTTGTACGCAGCTACTGCTTATGCATCAGCTAGCATTCCACTGGGTAAGATGTTCACGATTGAAAAAAAAGGAATTCTAACCGATATTTCCTTATCAAACCCAGAAGTAGCATTCCACAATAACTCAAAGTATGCACTTCGACTAAAGGAAGGGTTAGGCAAACTTTCAACATCTCATTGAAACACATACAACCCTCATACACTAGACAGAAGGGATGATGTGACAAACACAGTGAGACTAACATCTATCAGGAAGGGGATGTAGTACTGCTATATAGGCCATTGCTGCTCCCTGGAGTACACCGCAACTTCCATCATCCATAGGGCAAATACACACTCCGAATGATGAAAGTTATCACATTAGCAAAATACTTCGGCAACAATACACAATTCCATCCTCAACCAACCACCGTGCATCACACTAAAATGTGGCCTTTCGGATACGAAGATGTGGTATGTGCACTAACTAAAATAACATGTGCAGATTGCCCATGAGAAGAGCATTGGGGGCAGTGTCCAAAATATGAAGTGGATTAATGAGTACTTTGGGCGAGAGGCGGCAAGCAGATTCGAATTTCGTTAAGAACTGGCCATCATCTGCCCTCGAGGAGGGTGTGTGCTCTGAACAGACATAATCTTGTTCACAGTGCCCCATTTATAATACCATTAACAATGAACGACCCTATCTAATCATCCTACACGTTCAAAAGGATTAAGGGAAGAGAAAGACATCGAATCGACTACAACATTATCACGCAGGGGCTGTAGCGTTAGTGTGGAGGAAGGTTAGAAGTGTATAGGCAGGACTGAATGGACATGCAAAAGGGAAGCACAAGCTGGTGAAGGTTGAATACTGCTGCTTACTGGACTACCCACTTACCACCTCAGAGAGTGCTCCGGGTGCACGAATGTCAACTGTGGCCATAAAATTGATAGTCTGTAGTCAGTTGTCTCTCTATCACACTGTTTGCCACTTAGACACATTGGATTTTAAAAATGCATGAGCCAGTTCCAAACAGTGACTACTGCTAACGACGCATTAATTTGCATGATATCCTTCAAATATTTCGTGTGGAAATTGTTGCCTTGAATCAAAATCTTGCAATCAGGGTTAGGGTTAGGGCACTAAGGAGGGTAAGGGCACTAAGGAGGTCGAGAGCCATTGTGGCCACCTCACCTGCGTGGCGTCGTCCATTCCGAAATGGCAGTCCCGAAGCCACCATGTAGGCGTCTCCTATTGTTTCTACCTACACAGTGCAAAATACTAACGTCGAATAGTGTAAAGCGAGTAGCCTTTGTTAAGGCTTAAATTATTTTTATTCCGCTTTTTGTTTATTTGAAGGACAATCTTTGTTATTGTATGTCTGCTTGCTGAGATGACCTCTAGGACATGATACTTGCCTTAAAGCCCATCTTTACATTAGTAATATATGTTCAATTAGAGTGTTTTATCTACTTTCGTCTTTAAAATAGGATAAGATTATAAGTTTGAGGCGTAGAAACTTCCAAAACAAGGTCTAGTTGCAGACATGCATATCAGAATAAAAAAATTATTTAAAAATTGGTACCCCTTTCTTTTTTCAATTAAGTAGATATGACACAAATAGATATGACTTGGCAGCGCTGACACAAACGCAAAGTGGCAAAAAACCAAACGCTTCATGTTTAATAAAATATTTTGAACGCTATATATTGGAAAATTATCCTAGTGTTAGGCTAATGTATTTACGACTGGAAATAAGTACGTAATAATCTCTACATTCCTTTTCTCTCAAATGCTGATCCACTTTAATTATTAACAAAAACTAATTTACAGGCAAGAAAATTATCATTTTTAAGAAACATCTCGATTACTGTGTGTTCTTCTTGCAGCATCAACTTCATTCTAATAAGTAACGCACATGACTAATAAAAAAAATTGAAAGCGACGCCTATGGACCGAAGAAAGCTTTATGTTGCCTTGATTTTTCTACTTTTTTTTCTGAAGATACTAATGTCTAGATTTATGCATCTCATTAAAAGATCATTTAAATACTTCGATAAATATAATATGCCACTGCCTAAACGGATTTATTTTTTGTGTTATGGAATAATTTTATAATTTTAAATTTAATAAAAAAGTGTATTTAGGCATTTTTGGTTATTCTACAATAAAAAGAAAAAGGTAGAATCTCATAATTTGACTTTGCTTCATTTGAGGCTATAAAAGTAAACAATAAGAAAACTGCCACATTTTTTAAATCTGAAATTTAAGCAATAAATAAATACCACAGAGCGTCCTACTTTTTAGACAAATAAAACTAATGA